CATGTCTGCATCCTAGTTGTTTGGCTAGCTTTAACCCTTGTAGTAATGCCAATAGTTTAGCCTTCAGTGAGTTACTGTTGCCAATCGGCCCTGAGAGCATACCCAATATCCTCCTGTCAGGGTTTCTTAATACTCCTATTCCTGAAATGCCTGGATTTCCATATGAGCACCCGTCAAAATTCAGCTTTACTTTATTGCCTTCAGGTGGTCTCTGTTAGGTTGAAGGTTTTCATGTATTGATGGTTCGGCTGATAAGAGTTCTTATTAGCCTGTATTTGAGCTTAAGTTGTTATGTAYTGKGCCTGYGTTAATGGGCCTAAGTTTGTTTAGTGTTTTAAATTGTCTGGGTGTCCCATCACTAATCAGGGGCATTCCAGTCATTTCCTGTAACATTGTACTATACTCTAATATAAATAATAGTATTGTCGACTGGGTCATTCAGTTCGACATTCTCATCATCTCTTGGTCTTCTCCTCTCTTCTACTACTTCGGCTACAGCATTTCAGCTTTCAGTCTCCACTCCAGCTTTACTTTATCTCTTACTCTCGAAGATTGTGCTACTTCAGACCATGTTCTTAGAATACCTGTGACTGAGAAGACTTGAAAGCAGTCCAAGAGTTTTACCCAATGGGTTACTTTCACCTTGATATTATCAATCACTTCCTCTATTGTTCTACTTTTTTCCAAGAAAATTCTGTTGTTTCTCTCTTCCCATATTACCCAACAAATTGCTGCCTTTGTTGCTTTCCACATTACCATCCCTCTTTTCTTTCTTTGTCTCAAGAAATCATGGTTGAAGAGTCCTACCACATCTTGAGGGGGAGCCCACCTATAGCCAAAGAGAGTACAAAAGAAATCCCAAATTCGATGTACAAAAGAACAAGATATCATTAAATGAAAAAGGATCTCACTACTTTCCTTACACAGTGAACACACATGAGGAGAAAGGCACATGTATGGCCTTCTTTTCTGCAACATATCACAAGTGTTTACCTTACCAAGGAATACTTCCCAACAGAAAGCTTGGATCTTAGGGGGAATAGGCTTGCACCAGATTTCTTTCACAGGGAAAGTCCACCTAGAGGGTAGAATAGCAATTTCCTATTGAAAAATAGATCCCCTTAAAGGTAGTTTGCTAAGTCCAAGGGCCAAAAAGATAGAAAAAGAAATATATATATAGGAAAAAAAAAACAGAAAGATAAAGGAAAGTAGTGGCTGTGTTGCCACATGCATCAAAACTGTAATTGTTTCCAGCCAGAGCTTTGAGGGTGATAATCAATCCTTTTCAACCAAGAGAACACAAAAGTTGCTATTTTTTAAAATAATAGGAATGAATTGCACACATCCAAAATCTTAGTGGGGTACCATCCCCAATCAAAATCAAAAGGTATCCTTGTTTATTGTGATAAATATTCATAAATAAAGGTAGTCTTGTATTTCAGAACATTTATGTTTTGACTAATAATTATGGGTGTGTCTCTTCTATTAAAAAGAGATCTACCCAATCACACCCTCTCCAAAAAGCCTTTTTTTTTTTGGGAAATTTAACAAGAGGAATGTTTCCAATCTATTTTTCTAATATAAAGGATAACCCCTGTGCTTCAAAATTTTGCCTCCACCATTAACCTTTCAGAATCCAATCGCCAAAGAGAGTCAATTGTTCACTACAGAGACAATAATGCAATGGAGTATCTGAAATACCTCAACAAGTCGTAAGGCCACCAAGTGAGGCCTGCAACTAAAATAATCTGTAACTTCCTGTGGATCGTAGATTTCAGGAAGCGGCCTGGACCAAATCTTGAATAAATGGTAAAAGTAATTAGTATATGCCTCCAAAGCTTTGAGATCAGCCATGACCAAATCCATGCCAGACAGTCCTGTCAGAATAAAATGAATTAGCTTTGACAGAGAAAAAGGTCTGATCATATTACCAAATGATGGACAAGTCAAACATCAGGGTGGGGCCAAAGGAACAAGGAAGAGAGATGATTACAAGTCACCTCTAAAATATGCACATTGCAGTTGTACAACTGAGTTCATGTGACAGACAATTTCCAATTTAAGTCATTATTGTATTTGGATAAACTTGTAGCAAAACAGTTTGATTTCATTGATCAATGACAAGAGAAATCTGAGAATAATACCAGTATGCAAGAAAAATTTATAAGCTACGATGTAAGATAATCTCAGGATGATCAGATCTCTGACAAATAACAAAAAGGACAGAATAATGGGGAAAAATAAAAGATAGATAGATAAATAGTAGAAGACTAGAAGTGTCAGACCTCTCCTTCTGAATCAAATATGCAATCACATTAAACCCAACACAATGCCTTCAATAAAGTCAGACCAAAGAAAAAATCTTGATCATAATATCCAAACAAAAAAAAGGCTTCATCCAATTCCCAACAATGAATTATGCCAATTAATTATGAAGTGCTCCTATATTTGTAGCTTCAATTTGGGACTTTACTGACCCCCCAAAAAATCAATTCCTGTACATCTCTAAATATAGGTTTTTGACCCATTACAAATTTGGCATGAACTTCTCAAAAGAAATAACTTCTAAAATCAAAACGTACCAAATAATTTTAAACTAATAAAACCCTAATTCAACATTTTAAGTTTTTAACTAACTCAAGATAAAGAGATATGTCCAATACTCTTTGACTATCTGTAAATCAGCCATAACTTGCTAAATTAATATCTAAATTGTACAATCTTAGGCTTGATTTAGATAAAGCCCAATAACAGCAGAAAGCAGGCAGGTTTTGACTCTTCAAATTTAGGCCACAAACTGAGTGGAAAACTTAGGATAGTTCTCTCTTTGGATTCAGGTTGTGGTCCAAATAATTCATAAACTAAGTATTAGCTTCTTTTCCTGCACCACTGCGTTACAGTAATATAGCTGCAGTGGGAATAGTTGATTCTGGTAGAAAATCTAGAAGTTAAGCAGACGAGATCTTCTGGTTTGTTTCAATCAAAATATGGCTGGTGAAAAGGGAAATAAGTCAGGTAACGTTGATCCTTCCTTCCCATAAGCCTTGTATTGAAAGCTATGTCCCCTTCATCTTTTGACATATTAATATAACCTTTATACCCAAGTATCAAATTTATGACTGCATGTTAGTGTTTTGGACATATCATTCAAATACATGGAAACTAGTCATTTCTAAACAATCTTTCAAAGCCTATTGCTTGGATTATATTTTCAGGAGCTACAATTTTGGGAATAATTAGAACATGGAATTAATTGCATTCACTTTGGACAGAAAATTAAGGTATAGTGGATATTTTAAAACTTGGAATTTGATGCTTTATGTGCAAATTATTAGGCTAGATTACCTTACGTCCACCACATAATGTCTTGTGGGTTAAAAACACTAAAATAGAGCACAGATCTTCATATATATTGTAGCTGGATCCTTTTGAATATCTAAAAATAAGGATTAAAATGTGTATGTGGCCTACAACAGCCATTAGGTAAAAGAATAAGATTATAAACTGTTCGGTCCCATTCATGTTGAAGCATTTACCATCGGTAGTGATGACACGACCTTTTTTATGGTGGGAGGATTCCCTTACATCACTGAATTGCCAAGTCATACTTAAATCGTATGCAGGGATCTCATGCTGGAACAGAATGGGAGAAATAATTGTCCTCTCTGCTCCTTTTCCTTCTTGGGCAGAACATATCATCTCTTACTTGTGTGGTTCCTCTAATGTTGACCATTGCATACTTTTCCATGTTCCCTACCATAATTTACTTGTTGAACCGAATATCTCTCCAAGCCTTTCATTTTCATAAATGCCGATTATCAAATATCAATTACAGATTTAACCAAAATGACTTTTTATTTTCTCCACTCCAAACGAACTCGATGAGCATCATTGTTTTTCTGCTTATCCTTATTCAAAATATCAAGGAAATATGTTTTTTTTTTTATAACAAGCATTCCCAATTTAGTGCAGCATATAAGAATTCAATCGAAACCGCCAATTTCGTCTAACTTAAACACATAATTACTCAAATAAAGCAAAATCAAAAACGAAGAGGATAAGATTTCAGTGTATAGCAAGACGACTGAGGAACCTGGATAGGAAGGTTGAGGCCACGACGGAGGAGGTTCGGGGGAAGCGTCGGGAACTTCAAGATAATGAAGCCATATAAAGTCATCGACGGTCTTGGAGAGCTGTGGGAGGTGAAGTGCATCACTGGCCCAGCTGACACCCTGGTTAAATCCTTTCTTCAAGAACTCCACGTCCTTGCGTACCACCTGAGCCAAGTGGCTGAAATTGCCGATGAAGCCCCGTTGCTTATGTTCCTTTACCGTTGAAGTGGTGCGAGTCGAGCAGGTAATAGAGAGTCGCAGATTTGGCGCTCCCGCTGCTACAGTTGCAGCGACAGCCATCGGAGAGAGAGAGAGAGAGAGATCAGTGTGTGGAAAATGGCTCTTGCTGCGGTTTTATATTGGGTGGTTGGGAGATGGGGATGGTTAATTATCAATATAAAATGCCTGACAATTTGAAAATGCGACGAATGGCGGACATTGCAGGAGCGTATGCTATGTTATACTCACAGTAGATGACTCGTTTCTTGCGGTCAAGAGTTGTCTACCACCCGTTTCTTAAATAACCAAGAGAGCTGATTTGGTTACAAGTAATAGTTTGAGGTTTGAAACGCTGCCACATCAGTATGGCGGTTCAACTTTAACGTTTAGAGGATGTTTGGAACCATGGCCGTTTTTTCTGAAAAACGGTGCCACGTTAGATCCATATAGGCGTTTCTACAAATACTCGTATATATGATTGTTTGGTTCACGTGTTTTTTGAAAAAATGCTTGAACAGTGGGCATACCTAGTAAATCGGGTTCAGGACCCCCAAACGGTTGACTGATTGGCAATTACGTGTATCCTATGTGGTGCTTACCTGTCAGCACATACATGAAAAACGGTGATGAAAATCACCTCACCACATAGTATTACTCACTGCCTACGTGGCAGAAAACACTCCCAAACAAAATCAAAGCATTTTTTTGTACAAAACGGGTCTTGGAAGCATAGGTGTTTTTTCTTGAAAATCGGTCCCCAAATACACCCACGCTTCCAAACCCCATCTTAAAAAATGTAGTTGCAGATTCATCTACTTAAAATCAGAATACCATAATTTTCACTTTCCACATATCCATCTGTCATGACTACTCTCCCAATGGACTTGGCGCTTGTTTTTAGGTCGATCCCACATAAGATAGCCTATAAGCTATTTTTGGTGAAAAATCTAGAGAGCCTAGATCAGCTAATATTAAGGGTCGTTTGGCAAGCCTTTTTTTGAAAGATCTTTCGGAAACTCTTACAGTCAAAAGATATAATGAGCTTTTTGCATTAAGGTTTTGACAGCCTGAAAATCGTTTGATTAAGGTGTGTCTTTGAACACGTCTTGCCATGCAAAAATGAGTTAAAAAAATGAAAATTTCAATTAGGAACTTCTTGAAAATAGCTCAAAATGGATTTCATGTGCTTTTTCAAAGCGACGTCTTTTGGTGATTAGATCTTTTTCCAACCAAACAGGAAAAGACGAAAAAGTGGACTGTTGGGCTTCTAAAAAACCGATCACCCACGTGAAAAAGATGTGTCAAATGAGACTAAAGAGCTGTCCACTGCAATCTTTTGAATAATTTATCTAGAGCACTCCAAAGCAACTAGATTAGCTTAGTGGAGCCATTGGCTCAGCACTCCCAAATGGAGCTTTAGTGCTTGTTAAGAAGAGCTTTTTTTATGTAGCAGCTGTTGGCTTTGCAATGTGGGTTTTACGATAAGATCCCATTTGGTACGACTTACGTTCAAGGTGAGTTGTGATGCCAAAGTCATGGCGGTTGAGCACTTGCGTTTTGGAGAAGCTACCTAGAGTAGCTTCATATTATAGTTGCATTTTTGGCATTCAAAATGCAGTGGCACACTTTCTGGATTTTCACCAAATGTAACTTAGGGCTGTCAATGGATCAGATCTCAGTCGGGATCAGTTAGAACTGGAACTGACCCAATAGGAAATATTGAGGACCCAGAATCGAATCGGACCCAATAAGGTCTATAATTTTTAGACCTAGAACTAAATTGATTGGTTATTGGGATAATCGGGTTTGACCCAATGGACTCGATTATAATAAATGAATAAATATGTTTAATATATTAAATATTAGGGCAAATTTCTTAAACTATCCCTATTGTGTAGTTAATTGTCAAAGTGTAACCTTATTATTTATATATTGTCTTAGAGTACCCTTAAGTTTTCTAACAATTGACTAACTCTACCCCTCCCATTAGCATCCATTACAATGCATGACATATATATTTTTTTAAAACCCAATATTACCCTCTGTCCCCGTTGTGTAAGTAAGATAACAATCATCCCCCATGAGCGGGACTATCCCTCATCACTACCGACGACAATAGGGAGGATCTCCACCTCCAAGAGGAGAATCTTGGCGGCAACATTGACAATGGACCGAGAATGAAAAGGTGAGAAGAAATGAAGAAGGGAAAAGAATGAGAAAAAAAGTCACAAAAAATTACTAGTGTTAGGGTTTCGAAACAAATGAGATGTTTTAGTCTCATGAACTTCAAACTTGTTTCATTGACAACGCTAATGTCTTGAGGTGATAGCGGTTGGTAATGGCAGGTCATCATAGTTCCTTCTCTCTCTATCTCTCTTGTCTCTCAACTCTATATCAGGGGTTCCTCCAAATTGGACAGATCGCGATAAGAAGCTCGAAGTGGAGAGGTTTGAGAGTCTTCCAATGTCGAGATTCGGTGATGTAGAAGGATCCTTGATCCTCTGTTCTCAGGTCTCAAGCTCTTAGCTATAATGACTCTCTATTTTCTTTTGTGTAAACTTCTCTTCTCTATTTCGTTTCTTTGTCTTCCTTCATTCTTGGCCTTTGTACTTCGTCGTCGTTGTTGGGTTTTAATATCATAAGAGATTAAATCCAATAGGTTTGATTGGTCAATTACATTGCACCCGCACAATTGATTGAAAAATTAGTTTTTCTCTTACAAAAACCCAGTTTTAAACTTGTCCCACATTGGAAAATTATAAGCTTTGTTTTTAGTATTTTAATAGGAGTTGATTTACACTCCTTAGAAATAGTAGAGGAGAGTATGGGGGTTTGATACCGCGCAACGCGCATGCACGTGTGTGCGGCGCAATGAAGCGCTTTAGAGGCGCACTTTGCTCGCACTTGCTTTTGGTGCGATGCTGACTGTTGATCACCGTTGATGAGATCAACAGTCACGATTCGATCGGGTGTGATCAAGAGGCACAATTCAAAGTTAGCAGTCATTAACAGTTAACTACTTTTTAAACAGTCACAATGTTTGAAATTGTGACTGTTCAAGGTGCCTTCTCTGAACTAGCACCTACCTTTTCTTCATACCTCTTCATAAACTATTTAAGGAGCATGAATCAGACTTCAAAAACACACATTTTCGAAATCCACTTTCTCTCTCTTAGTCCGATCTGCTACAATCTCACAGAAGGTTTCTTCGGAGATTCTTCAACTTTGCTGGTTACAGATTCTCGCCCAAGGCTCTGTTGTATCTTGGGAACGGATTTGCCTGTAACCCAACAGCAAACTCAGTGAAACTGAGTGGGGGCAAATAACGTTCTAAAGACAGTGTTTTCAGATGCGCCTTAGTGCTTATCCTCCAAAGTTACAGTGATCCCATTTTTCCAAGAATCGTCATTAATGAACGCTACCCCACAGTATCTACATCTTATACGAGGAGGTGATTGACAATCTGCTTTGTTATTCTTCGACGACACTTTCACATCATATATGTATTGATTTGTCTCCTTGCTCTTCGTCTCTATTTGTACTTTGTAGTGTGTACATTATTTAACCCTAATGAATGATTATCTCTTGCTAACATTAACCATTTATCATCTGGAGTCTCCTAACCAGGTTGATTTCCATTGTGTGGCTCATTTTCATCTTCCATGTGATGTGAGACTGAGGTAGCGTGTTTATGTTTTTCGTTTTTCATAGCCCTCCCAAAACTGTCATATTTCATGTAAAATCCAAGTACAATGTCGTGAATCTGTAAATCCTTTTTGAAATAAGGGACAAATATTTATGATTGCCTTGAGAATCTTGTATCAAACCAAGAGAGAAAGAGTTCACATCTCCGCCCCACAAGGAGCCACCCTACAGCACATCCCGCCGTGTATTGTGAATATCTCCCGATGATATCATCATCGGAATTAGTACCATTATTGGGAGATGTTCATAATACACGACGGGATGTGCTATGGGGCGGAGATGTGATCTCAGAGAGAAAACAATAGGAAATAAGAGAATTATACTGGATAGTTTTTTAAATTGGGTTTCAAGTGAAAATCATACATCCTCTACTCTTTCATTCATCCCTATTTAAAGGACACGTAACAACTTTTTTTTTATAAAACCTTGTTGTGCTACACGAGCCGAGGGGTAGCACTCCCCTTAATGTCACTAGAGCAAATACAAATTGAATCTTGGGGAATATTACCAAGACTAAAGTCCACTAACCAATCCGTAACATGATTTGCCTCCCTATAAACATGCTTATAGTGAAAGTCCTCATTCAATGGCTTCCTCAAATTTGAGCATTCCCGAATAATGTTCCTCTGGAACCATGATGGATTGTAGATGAAATTGAGGCAGGAATAACTAACTTTGAGTCACCCTCAATGATGATGGAGTTGTTGGAGAAATTTTCCGACAAGTTACGAGCCTCTCAAGCTGCCCACGCCTCTACCATATTGATGGTAGTATCCCCTAAAGTGTATGCTTTGAAATCCGTGATCTCTCTTTTGTGATTCCTTGCAATAGCTGTAATGGATCATCTCCTATTACTAGAGTAAGAGGCATCAAAATTGATTTTGATAGAGTCAAATTTTGGAGCCTTCCAAGTAATGAGCTTCTGATGTAGCGCAATCCGGCTGCTCCCTGCTGGAGATGATTTGGCTACCAACAACGGCGGGAGCTGAGGAGCCTGCAAGAGATGAACCAGAGAACCCAGGGGTGTTTACTCGGCGAGGTCACTTCGATGGCTAAGTTAGCACTTAGTAGAGAGCTTAAAGATGATAATAGATTGTCAGAGAGCTAGAGAGCAAAGATTACGCATCTCTCTTCACCCCTGGGGGGTGAGGCCTTTATATACTGGAGTCCTTGTGGGTTTGGTGGAGCAGTTCATGGATTCCCACTGTGATGGGACCTGTTTTCATGTTAGGTGGGGATAAAGCCACCAACCGGTAAGGTTGCCCATTTCCACCTGAATCGGGGAGTGGGTGAGCTAATATAACCGTTACAAGTCATAATCCCGTAAAATGCAGGGTACGGTGGTGAGCTCCTTGGGGTTGTCATGCGGTGGTCGGTCTAACTTGGAAGCGAGCTGCCCGTAAGGCGCCAGGCTGCATGGTGGCAAGCTGTTTGTAAGTGCCAGGCTGCTTGGTGGCGAGCTAC